TTACTATTCTGGATACTTAATAAACACGAGAAATTAATATTTTGTGTAAGTGGCAGGTATAACTAGTACAACATAAACTTTCTTTGGTTTATACATAAAATTGTAAATGCATATGACATTACACTCTATTGAGATATATTACTCCATGTATGTTGGTGATATACATGTCTACAGGCTGAAACACAAAAATCACGAACTACACTGAACACTAATTTCAGTAGAGGAACATTGTTTAAATAATCATCATAAACAGTATAACACCCGTTATTATTTATGAATATTATGCATAAAAGTACGTTTTACCTTAGATGAGATTTCAAGTGCTCAGGTCCGTGGACAAAAGCTTTTAGAAACAAGAAGTTGGTACAAAGAAAGGTTGTTGCGAAAAAAAGAAACAAGCTGGAGACGCGTTCTTTGAAGAAGCAAGTTTGTAGGACTGATTGTAGTAGACTAAATGAGTCGTTATATACCTAGGACGATAGGAGGCCTGAATATATTTGGAACTTAGACTGCACGTGAAAACAAATACCGTATGTTGGTTGTAAAAATACTGAACACATTTGTGTCAAAAAAAAAGGAGGAGAAGCTTTAAGAAACTGTGGAAGAACATATACACTGTCATTCCCACAGCAGAGGTGAAAATTTGAGTTTCAAATTCCAATACAAATGCAAATCTTGCCTTTGGAGAGCTATAATGAGAAAAAAGATGACCTAAACTAATCTTTAAACTGCTGTAATTTTTGGAGTGTGTTTTCATTTGTAAACTCTTGTTACATCATCTACCAGGGAACAGGCAGTATTATACAAACTTCCTGTACTGTAAACTTTGATATACATTCACTAGTAGTGGTAGTTTAAATTGTACTTTGTATTGTGAAGCCAAATACAAGAATATTTGTTAAAATAAACTTGTTTGAAAGATCAAACAAATTGTATTCGAGTACTGTGCACAATAAACCATACGTGTACTTTCTTACTGTCATTTTTTACAGTACTGTTCAAATGCATCTCCACTAGAGTGAGTGAGAGGAAAGATGCCCCGAGTGGCTGCGAGATAAGATTATGGCAATTGAGTTGCTAGTCGTGCTGTTGATATCACGGTTTCATTGGCACAACAGACAAAATTATGGATACAGTGAAACACAAACTTGAAATAAAAATAAATGCATTTATGAAACAAGATTAAAATGTTTTATTCATATACAGATGTGAAATCCTATTTAAGAATAAAAAAAGACATGCTTGCCCCATAGTTTGGGTTCAGTTACAACAATTGTATTCAGTCTTGTATATTACTTGAAAATATAAGGACAGTAAATGATTAAAAACAATAGACAAAATTTACATTTTGTAGAACAATAAAACATGTTTAGAGATTTTTAAAATAATGAACTAAAACATAAAAGTAAGAAGCTCAAATCGGAAAGATGTATAAATATTTTAATTGTTTCTTATAAAATCCTTTTTCTAATGTGATTTCCCAAGATTTCAAATATGGTAATCTATAAAAACTAAATGCATCAAAATTAAGATACTTTATTTTTCTGAAACAACGTGTATTTACAAAAGTTCCTGTCAAATTTTCAAACAATTTCATCCACTAGTTTTGTTTTTGGTATGAAATATGACGAGAGCGACGTTACTTAGATGCGATGCAAGTAGCTGGGTCTAATGCTCGGTGCGAGTTGCCGGGTCTCGTAGGGATGATATACAAGTAATAGGTGATTTTGTCGTGGGTTTGACTTTCACCCGTCACAAATGAATTTATTATTTCCATGGTTAAGCTCACAAGTCTGCAACTCCTCGAAATTTACGTAAGGAATAAAAAAATCACACTGATATTTGAGTAACATAGAATCATATTTATTCCACATGTAAATTACCTTTTCTGATAAGTTGGGTATTTTTTTTTAGAAACTGTTACAAGATACTCATCAAACTTTCAAACACATCTAGTAATTTGTTGATTTTACATAGTTCTACTGACATGTTAAAATTAATACACTGCTAGACCATGTAGAGATCTTAATATAACTTACATGAAGCTTGGGTGGCAGATATTTTTTTACATCGGCTGACACTGACATCTTGAACTGGACATCTCTTCTAACAGATGACTGACAAACTCTTCTTTCTTTTGCTAAAACGATTCTCCCAGATGCTCTTTAGGTCTCAGTATTTATAGTCTGCAGGCAGGATGTTGGTGTTGTTTGGCACATACTAAAGCTTCTTGTTTTGTTGAACTTTAGCATCCAGTATATTTTTTTAGTGATGTAGTTGTATTTCCCAGACGTGCCTAGACTTCGGACCACTCAACCTTTGACCTGCACATGTTCTTCCAGCACCTGACATTCTAGAACTTGGATTTCCCATCTTAGTTCTGCTGTTTTCTTCACTTTTGAACTTTTTTTCTAAACATATTATATAATATTAACTTCCATACAACTGTGTCTTAAACTTAATAAACATCCTCCTGACTTGATGATTTACTAGTGTCTATTTTGTATTGATAAAAGAACTGTGTTTCCTCTCAAAGGTTTCAATCTTGGAGTCTCACTTTTAATTAAACATGTCACTGTTAATAATGAAGTTCATTGTTGACTTATTTGAACACCAAATGCATGCTACATTTCCATATTATATCCAGTCCAAAATATTCACTACTTGTCAGTTTTACAAGAAAAATACAAAAAAATAAACTGAAAATATTCACTAGGTAGTAACTGTTTCATGAGAAATTGGTCCTCTCAGAGGAAAGGTTAAAAACTTGATTGCAATCAGGTGATATATGCTGCCATGATGAAAGTTACAATACATGAATTTAGGGATATTTGCAAGTTACAATACTTAAATGTAGTATAACATACTAAAATTACGTGCCACTATTACCAGGGTTCAACAAAAAACAATTAATTAAACTGTAACAACACTTGTAATAAAATTTAGCCATTACCGAAAACACAGTTAATAAAAATGTGCCTGGTCAGGACTTGATACTAATGTTAATGAAGAAAAAACATAAATATCAATGTTAATTATTTCAAATTATGGAATCAGGAAAAAAAGAACCAGAAGAAGAAAAACCTAATTTGAAAAAAAACAACATAACATTACCTAAATCACCTTTCTATATTAATAACAATATTTACTGACAAACTACAATAATTCACTAAATATCTCGTGATTCAGTTTATGAAGCTTATGGAAGGGTATTTATTCACTGTGTTAGGTCATGAGAGTACATCTCATGTGATCATAAATTTACATAAACTTTTTGATACATTTATAATATCTGTACATCACAATTAGGGAAATTGGTGTCAGTTTCATAATACATACATATTTACTCAAAATACATGTGATCAGCTAGAAGATGAGTTAGCATTTTAATGTAACTAAAAATTTATAGATAAACAAAATGGTCGAACGAATAATAAAGCATAACACAAAAATAGAATTTATTATCTCACGGTAGGAATACATGAAGGTGATAGTACTTGAGACTCGGCATGGCCAGGTGGTTAGGGCACTCGACTCGCAATCTGCAGGTCGCGGGTTTGACTCCCCTTCACACCAAACATGCTCGCCCTTTCAGCCATGGGGGCGTTATAATGTGACGGGCAATCACACTATTCGCTGGTAAAAGAGTAGCCCAAGAGTGGGTGGTGATGACTAGCTGCCTTCCCTCCAGCCTTACACTGCTAAATTAGGGATGGCTAGTGCAGATAGTCCTTGTGTAGCTTTGCACGAAATTCAACACAAACAGACAGTACTTAAATGTAGGGATATATTGAAACGTGTACTCTGTTGAAGTTTGCAATAATTTTCAACTTGTTTTTATCGGGACTAGTAATTATGTAATGTTATTTTTTGTGGGGTAGGGATTTGAATAAGATAAGGTTGAATACTTGAGCATGTGTAATTCTTTTTGAGTAGCATTAGTTACTGCTAAAAATTGTCTCTAAATTATTAGACTTTGATAGTGTAGGCTAAAGTTTATGTACACAGTTTCATGGTAAGATAATGTACTTAAATTTACTATGGTTTAGGATAGAAGTCTTATATAGTGTCATGATAGGGTGATGTGTTTAAATTTACTATGTTTTAGGATAGAAGTCTTATGTAGTGTTGTGGTAGGATGATGTATTTAAATTTACTATGTTTTAGTATGGAAGTCTTATATAGTTTCATGGTAGGATGATGTACTTAAATTTACTATGGTTTAGGATAGAAGTCTTATATAGTTTCATGGTAAGGATGATGTACTTAAATTTACTATGTTTTAGGATAGAAGTCTTATATAGTTTCATGGTAGGATGATGTATTTAAATTTACTATGTTTTAGGATAGAAGTCTTATATAATTTCATGGTAGGATGATGTACTTAAATTTACTATGTTTTAGTATGGAAGTCTTATATAGTTTCATGGTAGGATGATGTACTTAAATTTACTATGGTTTAGGATAGAAGTCTTATATAGTGTCATGGTAAGGATGGTTTACTTTGATTTAGTGTACTGTATGATATAGATTGTTATATATCATTTTATAGTATTCATAGTAGGGATGGTATACATATGTTTGATATATTTTACAGTAGAAATAAGTGTGTTTATACATATAATGTATTGTTAGGTTTGGTATTCATAAATATAAAAGTTTGTATAGTGTCATGGTGTACTTTAGTGTATCTTGAGATGGTAACAAGCATAAGGAATGAAAACTGAGTCTGTTTAGATACAGAACTAACACTTGAAACTGTAAAAGTATGATATTACTATTGTTAGTGAGGTGCTGTTGATATCAGGTAAGTTAAATCATGCATGTGAGCATGAGCATGAGTGATGCTTGTACTTTAAATTTAAACTTAACAACTACAAGTGAACAAGCCTTTAGAGAACTAACCAGCTTTTAAACGTAATGAACTTAGCATGTTGTGTGATGCTAGGAATGGCTTACTAATGTTGATTGTTGCTCATCTAACCATTCCTCCCCAACAGCATCCATTCAGTGACTATGAAAAGTTTAAAAGAGACCTGATCAGAAATTGCAGTTACTCTAACACAAGTCCTACGTTTGACCATCTCAGTTCCTTCTCTGATATAGCTGGTTTGACGGAGAGACAAGGTTCACTTAATTCGCACTGTAGCAGTTCTTCAACTGACCAGGTAAAATAGCATCATGCCGTTTACGCATGGAAAATTTTGGCTTCATTTATAAGCGATATTAACATGTCAGATCTCAGCATTTTGTTGAAATTGGTTTATTTTAACCAATTTAAACTACTTACATTTATTATTATTATTATTAAGTGATGATTTTTCTTAAGTTTAAAAGAGATTTAGTTAATTTTCAAAAAAAGTTCTAAGTTAATTTGTATTTGAAATTCCATCTTTCTTAATTTTGGTTTTGAGATAAAAATTAGTTATGAAGTGGTATGCTAAACATTTTTTTATTATGGAATACGTTCTTCATCGCACATTAAGAATAGTATTCAGTTAAGGCTTATATTTTTGTCTTCAGAAAAACACAAAACAGTAATTACATAGTTTTATTTATTTGTTTCCAGCTGCTACAGAAGAAGTCAAAAATTTGTGATTCCTATAGAAGAAATGACATTAACAACTTGACTCTACTAGGTGGTCATGGAAGTGCCACATCTATTGCTAATCGGACTAATCTTTCTTCTGATTCTGGTACAGAGATTGATCTTCATCCACCACCTTCTCCAGTAGATGGTCACTCAGAGAAGACTAATTGCACACCCCGCTCCTGTTCTCGCCCAGGTCTTCCAAAAGTGGAAGAGATTCAGGACACTAATAGCAGAGATTCTGGGCTGGATAGAGATAATCCAGATGACAGCAGAGAGAGGTGTTTTTACCTACAGAGTCAAGTTCAACAACCGTATAGCAGATTTGGTCAAGGTAGCGGGTATGTTTCATTCCCTGGCCAAAATAATAACTTAAGTTCAAGTCACCATCTAGCAAATAGTGAGCCTTCTATTCATGGTGAAGAGGATTTAGTTGAACCTGGAACTGTTCCACCCTACTCAAGATTTGGTTTGGCCAAGAGTGTTGGAAGTGTGATTGAAGAGACGAGAGATTCACCATCCATCCAAGAAGAGGATCAGCCTTCTGCATTGAGCTACTCCAAATTTGGTGTAATGTCCCCTATTAATCAAAGCAGATACGGAAACCCAACAGTTGGCTTAGTTTTTGATCATTCTAGACCATTTGATATTCCTCATAAAAGGCTTTTGAATTCTACAAGAAGCCAAAGCAAACCAGTGTCCAAAGGTTATGTTAGCATGGCTCAGGCTGAAAACTTCACAGTCCCAGGTTCTTTCAAAGAACCCAGTAAACCAGGCTTATATTCTAAGTTTGTTGTTGAACCAGAAGATAAAAACTCTCTTTCTCCTCTATCTGGCTATGTGTGTCTGCAGGATAACATTAGTCCAGAATCCATACCACAAGTAAACAGCATTGACAACAAAGGTTATTCCAGATTTGGAGTGGATCCAGTTCTTGATGATGATGATATATCTCCTTTGGAAGATTGTTCTTCTGATCAAGAGACAGCAAAGAGTGATAAATGTTTGCTCAAACCACAGGAAACTAGTGATGTTAATGGTAAACTATGTCCTACACCTCTCGTGGATGAAGTCAATAAAGAAGATGATAAACTATTACATCTTGACCTTCCAGTAAATGGATATGTTCAGTGTCCTGTTCCTCATGATGGTGAAGTAGATGACCATGTAGAAAATTTGGACTTAGAGAAGCCAAAGTGGACAAGTACAATGAATGACCTGCCGAAACCTATGGGAATTTCTGATTTTAATGAGACTACCAGTGGCTATGTATCTAAGTTTCAGCCTCACCGTTTGTCACGTGAGTTGTCTCCCAAAAACTTCTCTTTCAAAAACAATGGTTACGTATCCTTGGGTGAGACTTTTCAGAATGGAGATGCGCCAAAAAATAACATTACTAATTCAGGATTAGTGGTTGGTGTAAAAGATTCTGAAGAGCTAACTAGCTATCAGAGCTTACCAGTTTGAAAAACTAAAATACTAGTATACTATCTGGGCATTTCATATATTTGAGTGTTATAATACATGACATATAATATCCACTGCAAAGTATTTGAAGCTATATATGCACTTATAAACACTGGGAATTGTTGCAAATGCTGAGATTAGCATAAATGATAGGTACAAATATTTGGTGGTACAACTGTCTCTGTCCACAATTAAAGAGGGTAAGGTATTTTTTCTAAAAGCTCTTGCTTTGCTGTTTAATATACTTACCTGCTTTCATTACAGTTTACCTTTGAGTGCTAATATAAGGTAAAACTGTGGCAAGGAAATTTTCGGGTCATCAAAGACCTGGTAGATTTAAACATTCAGTTTGAACGAGGAAAATACTTTAGTAGTAAATCGAAGCTGGTATTTAGTCTTGCTAAAATATTTATTTTTTAAAATCATGAATGTCTTTGATATAGATGTAGAAACTCTTTCCTAGTAAGTAAAGAAATCCTAATTGAAACTATAACACACTTAGTTCAATTCAGCTTGTTGGACTTCCTTCACCACTGTAATGTAAATGTTGGAAGAGAATTCTTTTATATAATCGTGTAGATATTGTGCCAAAGTGTGTTTGCTGCTCATCACCTTAGACTAAAGTGTGCCTTTTAAAATCCTGTATGTTGGTGACTTTGCTGATTAATTGAGGTTTCTCGTAGACATTGCTGCTTAACATATCCTTCATTGTTGAAATTATTTCAATGAGAATTAATGGGGTGGTTAATTGTAAATGTTTTATGCATGACACAAAATATGAGTTTCTGAACACAACTACCATTAAAATAGGCCCCTGAAAGCTGTTGGATTTTTCTAAAAGTGAAAACACAGTATATAGTCTGTCATTGGCTTATACTGTGTGTGTGTGTGTGCTTTATTGTCAGGTTCTTTTAATCTTCTGTGGGGAGGGGGGGGGGTTTCTTCTCCTGCTCTCCTCACAAGTGGTATGTGAAAACTGTATAAAGAATGTTTTGGAAGATTTACAGCAGTAAATGAATTTTCAGAGTGTACTTGTTGATAAATTAACAAAATGAGTTTTTCATTTCACAGAAAAGTTGATATTTGGATAAAAGACTGAGAAAGAGATATCTAGTTTGATGTTTTAAACTTGTTAGACATTATATTGTTGACTGGTTTTTATCAGTAGATTTGTGTTGTCCTGCCCTTTTGGGCTAAATTACTATGTTAATGTACTTCAATTTAGGAATACTGATGAAAGCAGGATGTTGTGGTTAGTTGACTTTTGTAGTATGTGCAATGAGCTCCCCAGTGACACAGCAGAAAGTCTATGGACTTATAATGCTAAAAACCAGGTTTTGATACCAGTGGTATGTAGCTTTGTGCTTGAATACAAACAAACAGAGCATTACACAATGAAGGTTGATAAAAAATGTTAATGTCTAGGCCTTTTTAATAATCTGGGTTTTTCACTTTAAGTGCATGTTAAGAACCTATGGCATTTAAAGAAGACATTTTAAGAATATTTAATTTTCATGATACCAGGGAAGCACATAGGATAATGCCAGTAGTTAAATCAAACTGGAGAATCTGAATGACTCAAGTATTTTTGGTGAAAATACTTGAGTCATCGGGTGTCTTTAATGGGGATTATGTAATATTCATTATGTGACATAGGTTGAGATCTGGTAATAATGTAAGTACAGTTTTGTTATTGATCTACCTTAAGTGAAAAGAATGGCAATGCTTATTTGCCAGGTATGTTAAGAATGATAACCCGTGTATTATAGTTTTATTTTTCTCTAAGGTAAGATAAAGGTTATTGTGTTTTGGCACTTGTGTATAAAGTTAAAATCATAAATATTATTTAACGTTAAAATTGGTACACAATTAAAAAATATTTTACTTAGGCCTATCTATGGCCTTCAAAAAGTTGCCGACTCTACATGTTTCGACGTTGCAACGTCATCCTCGAAACATGTAGAGTCGTCAACTTTTTTGAAGGCCATAGATAGGCCTAAATAAAATGTTTTTAATTGTGTACCAGTTTAACGTTAAATATTATTTATGATTTTAAGATAAAAGGTGTCAAGTCTAATGTCATTATACCATGTGGCATAGGACAGGTTCTTTGTGTGTTCTTAATATAAAGCAATTTGTGCTTTACTCTTAACTGTAGCCACTTCTTAATATATTAATCTTTGTAGGGCGTTTGTGTTCTTAGAGTGAAACTATATTAAGATGCAAGAAATTTTGCATTAACACTTTTAGTCTTCACCAGTGAATACGTTTTTTTTTCAAAAAAAATATCTGGGATAAAATTTTGTAACATGCGTTACCTTAGGTAATATCTCAGAAATGTTACAAATGCTTTATTTCAATGCCCTTGCTGCTGAAACTTGCAGTGTTTAATGCTGGAATAAAATGTAAATGTTTTAATATGGTTTATCTGAGAGAGGTACAACCGAAAAGACTGGTAATTTTTGAAGTGTGTTTCACTTTTATATATGTTTAATATGTATTTGTTGGAAATTAAGTACGAAAATTAAGTTTTCTTACAACTGTTGGAATCTCATCAAATAATTTGGTTGTAAGAAGAAGAAAAAAAGTTTCTATTTGTAAGAGAAAGAACACTTATTTAAATTCTCTTTATATAAGTAAAAATATAAAACACAAGTTATGTAATCAATATTTACCGTTATAGTACAGCTTGGATTGTTCTTGCACTACTTACATGGATAATGTGCAACCGTGCTCACAAAACTCAGGCTGGTGGTTAGTTTTGGAAACTTGCACCAATAGTTGTGAATTTTGAAATTGTAACTAATAAACAGTAGTCAGTAATTTAGGAGTCAAAAACATGCCTTTGCAGAATGTGTATGTGTATGCCTTTGCTTAAAAACCATGTCAAAAGAACAGATATTTTCTCTATTGTCGATATATACATATTTAAAACGACCCAGTGGTGGCTGGTGTCGTTGATTGGTGAGACACGCCATGTTTTCAACCACCTGTAATCTACGCATGTCATGTTGCAATTTTCTTATCTCTGCAGAGTCCGGTTCTCACTTCTCGTTAGTTTTCCTGTCAGCATTAAAAAGGAACGTTCTGGCACGCTCATATGTTATTCTAAGACCTCGTAACTGAAAGCAGAGGAGAATGTGTTATAATATGTCAACCACACTATATCTGCTATATACGAAGAGCCATGTTTGAATGTACTTACTGGTTCCTTACGCAGAAATATTAAGTCATTATTGAAGCTTTAATTAATAGTTACTACACACACACACACACAAATATATATTATAACTGAAATATAATAAATGAGAGAAATACGTTTGGTTTATGTGTTCAGATTAGGGAGTTGGAAATTCCGTGTGTCACTGAAACCAGTTGTTATGTAGCATTAGCTAAGGACCACTTGAGGTGGTATTGAACTTTCATAAGCATACGGTTTATCATGGAATGTTCAGATACATGAAATCACCAATAGGAACTTACATGTTCGTGTATGAAGTCAGACACACATGGATTTTCAAAGAATGAAAGCGTAGCTCGACAGGTCTCATCTTTAGTATGCTCATTTATAAAAACAAGTGAAGCTTAACCAATCAAATGTTTCATAAGTTTAGCTCAACAAACCTGTTTCTTCTGTAGAACCGAACATATTTTTTTTTTTTTTTTTAGTTTTTACAAACTAATCTTGAATATTGAGAATTATGTTAAGTCATGTTAACATGAAATAGGTAGGCTGGTTATTCCACCCAGTTATGTTGATTTAATCGAAGATGGATATTTAAGGCTACCGTACCTTACCATAGTTACTGCTAGAATCATATCTTTTAACCTTTGATGTGTTTTTGTATCATTTCCGACATTGAATAATTTGGCCACACGGTCAATATTAAGGTTTTATTTCTTTTGTAGAAGCCAAAGAAAATGTGTGTTATTTGAAAATATCCCACTTTAGTTAATTTTCTTTATATATAAATTGTAGTCTGAGTACTTTACAGACACTAGTGATATGTCATTTAAATAATTCAGCCCTTGTACATACTGCTCAATAAAATAGAAAAGTTATTTTAGATTTTAGCTATCCACCATATACTGTGAATCCTAACGTGACAATTATTTTTTATTGTACGACTGAATTATTCAGATTTTAAGTTCAATGAAAATTTATTCGTTTTCAATGTAATCGGCATACTCAGAGTATAGAGTTTCGCATAAAAACCTGAATTTGAACAGAATAAAAACGTGTTCAGAACGGTCACACTTTGCCTTGATTTTTATAGTGTTTAAGAATATTGGGTTCAGCTACAGAAGAAACGCGTGGAGGGATGAGAAAGTAATTATTTCTTATTTTCCTCACTATTGTGTTGTCGTTAAGAATCATACATTCTCCACAAGGTTTCGTTTAAATGGTAGAAAACATAGAGCCATCATTGACCAGATGAACCATTACATAGCACTGCATCGTCTAAATTGTAGAAAGAAAAGTTAGAAACGTAGAGCCGTTATTCACCAGATGAACCATTACATAGCACTGTATCGTCTAAGTTGTAGAAAGAAAAGTTAGAAACATTGAGCCATTATTGACCAGATGAACCATTACATAGCACTGCATCGTCTAAATTGTAGAAAGAAAAGTTAGAAACATTGAGCCATCATTGACCAGATGAACCATTACATAGCACTGCATCGTCTAAATTGTAGAAAATC